GATTGCGAAGGAGCTGTAGCAGAAGCAGAAGAAGAGAAGGATTGGGAAGATCGGCTCTCCATTCATTTCCAGGTTTTCCTCACGCTTTGACTCTTTTTCCTTTCTTTCTTTTTTTTTTTACTAATTCATTGTTGTTTAGCTTTAGATTTAACTATCGAAGGTTTTGACTATCAATGAAGAACTAGACTATCAATCACACATTCACACCGTTTACTTTTAGTAGTATAATCAAGGTTGTGAAAATCGGACCGGACAACGAACCGGAAGAGGGAGAGGTTCACGGTTCAATCGGTTCGACCGGTCAAACCGGGGTCGAACCGGATGACGTAATAAATAATTATATTATTAAAATTTAATAAAATAAAAATCAGATAATATAATTATATGAGCATTTAATAATATTTATAAATTTTTATACATATAAATATCATTTAATAATAATATATTTATAAGAATAACACTTAATATAAAAAATTAAATGATAAGATTTTAAAATATAGGAAAAGCATCTCTCACTTGATACGCGCTTCAATTTCATAATCTGCACAATAAAATTTATGAAATATGTAATTATAAATAAATTTATTTAAATATCACATAAAACTTCACACGTATAATACTTGCCTATAGAAAAAGTCACACGGCAAGAGTCTGTGACCAGAATCTCCATTCCTTTCTTGACCTGACTGATCTTATACGGGTGCGAATGTTTAGTCGTCTTCAATAGTAATCCTTGAACGACAGCTCTTGAAATAATATATTCGGTACATCCACTATCAATTAGCAGATCGCACACCTTGCCGTTTATAGTGCACCGGGTTTTAAAAATAGTGTGGCGTTGAGACATGATATTTTGTCGAGGTGCCAAAAGCAATTTTTCCATGACCCCCATTAACGGATCCCCCTCATTAGCCTGTACATCTTCGGTATCATCATTTTTATCTATCTCTGTATCTTCTGGTTCTAGTTCTTCGTCAAGCTCCGCTAACTGCACTTGTTGTCTTTGGGGACACTCATTAGACTTGTGTCCAGGTTGAAAATAACGAAAACATTTGAGTGTTGAGGGCGTCGCATATGGATTAGCACCATTGGCGGGCTTCGGCTTCTGCAGAAATTTTCCTTCAACTCCAGAGCTAGAGAACCTGCTGTTTGAGCTGCTGGGTTAGCATTTGGTGATGGTCTCGTCACTGGCTGTGAACTTGCTCTATTAATTATTGTATTTGGCTCTTTCTAATGCCGCCGATTATAAGGAATTTTACATTTGCGATTCTGTTGCACTTTAATCTTCATGGCTAAATTCACTGCTTGTGGGCATAGACCAAACTGAATTCAATTCCAGTTGTTTTAATTGAATATTGTCCTTGAGGCCTCTGATGCATCGAGCTACCAATTGATTGGCGGACTCATTGAGATCATTCCTTGCACTCAATCTATTTGAACTCTTATGTGTATTCACTTACCGATCTTGTGCATTGAGCACAATGTTTGGTACCTCATGTACAATATATGTTCAAAATCAGTAGGAAGAAATTGAGTTCGCAGCAACTGCTTCATTCGTGCCCAAGTGCGGACACAGTCTCGACCTTCTCGTCATCTCGGCTGCAATGTTTTATCCCACCAAGTACTAGCACCGCCTTTCAATCTACATGCCACGTATTTAACTTGCTTCTCCGACTCAATTTCCATGTACTAAAAAAAATTCTCAACCACCTTCTCTCAATCAAGGAAGTCTTCAATGTGTAGATGTCCGTCGAAGAATGGAATATCTAATTTCACCTTGAATTCACCGGAATAATGCCTATAGTTTGGGTGTCGTCGGGTCCGATGATAGTCTGCCACATACCGATTATTCATCTACTCTCCACTAGAATACCGCGGATCAGAGCCTCGCACAGGAAGTGGATCTTCTAAGCGAACAGAATTACATATTTACATTTACTGCCATTATTGTATCTATTTAAGTATCGTATTACTGTAAACTGTACTCATTCAAATTCTTAATACAATTTCTCTTCCTCTCGTTTCTCCGTCGTCTCTCCTCTCTTCTTGCATTATCTTCTTCGCCACTTTCATGGTATCAGAGCCTTCCATGGCTGATCAAGAATCAACCAACACCCATCCGACCACCTCCTCCCCTCTCTCCGGCCAACCCACGAACACCGACATCATCATACCACCACAACTCAAGTTCCTCATTTCAAACATCAAGAATCTAATTCCTCAATCCCTCATCATTGATAACTATGCTATATGGCGCATTCAGGTTCTTCAACAATTCACCACCAACGGGTACGCCGGACATCTCACCGGTTCCTCACCTCTTCCGCCGGATACAACCTCTCCCGACTTCTTCCGCTGGAAACTTGAAGATGCCAACCTCCTTTCGGCATTATTCTCTACAATATCACCTGCGATACTTCCCTACATCATATCTTCCACCACTGCCCAAGACGTTTGAAAGTTCTTGAACGAAGACTTCAACCGACTTGTCGATCTCGCGTCATCCAATTAAAGAACGAACTCCACCACGTGCAAATGAAGAACCTCACCATGCAGCAATATCTGACACAAATTAAAACCATTGTTGACAACATTGCGGCTTCCGGATCCACTGTAGACCCGGAAGATATCATCATTCACATTCTTAACGGACTACCAGCTTCCTACAATCCGTTCAAAGCAGCAATTCGCACCTATCCCATCGCGCTCGATCTTGATAATCTCTATTCCATGCTCTGCAGTGAAGAGGTAAATGTCAGTCAAGAACTAGCCAAAGACTCTGCCTCAGCCGCGAGCAACACCGCCCTCTACTCAAGCAACTACAATCCCACGAAAGGCAGAGCACCGAAAAAGTTCTTCAAGAACAAATCTCAGCAGCAATATCAAAATCCCTCCCCCCTTGTCACGACACAACCAGCTGCAGCGACCAACTCTCGGCCTACCTGTCAAATTTGTGGCAAGACCGGCCATATCGCCCTCAACTGTTGGCACCGATGTAACTTCAAATTCGCCCCAACTGTTTCAAGATCCCCGCAAGCTTTCCAAGCACAACCAACCAACACAAATTCCGAATGGATCTTGGACACAGGCGCCTCCGCTCATCTTACACCGGACATCTCCAACATTCAGTATCCACATTCATACACCGGGGCAGACAGTGTCTCAATAGCAAATGGTTCAACCGTGCCAATCCAAAATTCCGGTCAGGGACTATTACCTCTACCCGAAACACCTCGTAAGCTTTATTTACGCAAGATTCTCCACGTTCCTTCTTTAGCTCAAAATCTTCTTTCAGTTTCCAAACTAACTGCTGATAATCCAGTCACCGTAAAATTTGATGCGAATGGTTTTGTGATTAAGGATATACAGGCTCGTCGTCCTCTTCTTCGTGGCAACCTTCGTGACGGCCTTTACAAAATTTCAAACCGGCAAGAAATCGCTCCAGCCACTCTACACGCAAGCCGAACCAACGCCCAGATCTGGCATGACCGACTTGGCCATCCTCACCGCCACATACTTTCTGTTCTGTCTCAAGCCATACCAGCCATTAAGAATAACTCTAGAATCTTACATTGTATTTCTTGTAGTGTTTCCAAAAGTCACAAAATACAATTTAATAAAACTGTTTCTACTACTACGTCGCCTTTTGAATTGTTGCACACAGACGTTTGGGGACCAGCCCCAATCCCTTCCACAGATGGCTCGCGTTACTACGTTCTATTCACCGATGACTACACACGTTTTACTTGGCTCTACTCAATGCATACTAAGCAAGAAACTCTTTCCAAATTCAAGGTGCTTTATAAATTAATTAAAACTCAATTCAACACGACCCCGAAAACGCTTCGCTCCGACGGTGGCGGCGAATATACTAGCGCCGAATTCAATACCTTTCTCCATAATCACGGCATTCAACGACAACTCAGTTGTCCGCACACTCCCGAACAAAATGGGGTGGCGGAACGCAAACACCGTCATCTTTTGGAACTAACCCGCACTCTCCTCCACGCCTCCAATGTTCCCAACACATTCTGGGCTGAGGCTCTGTCTACAGCTAACTACCTCATCAATCGCCTCCCCTCTAAATCCATTAATCTTGATACTCCCTTTCGTCGCCTGCACGGTCGTTCTCCGAATTACACCTTTCTACGCACATTCGGCTGCCTTTGCTTCCCTTGGCTCCGCCCCTATGCTCCTAACAAGCTTTCACCCCGATCTCATGAATGTGTTTTTCTCGGCTATTCGACGTCACACAAAGGCTACAAATGTTACAACCTCCTCACACAAAAGACTCAAATCTCAAGGCATGTTGAATTTCATGAGAACATATTCCCTTACAATAACCTCAAATCTCAGCCTCCAGAGACGACTGCTACAACTCCCACTCCCATATCACCCTATCTCCTCACACCCGCCTCCACTGTTACATCCTCTGTCAATCAGCAACCTGACATTACCTCAACATCTCTCACACCCCAACCTACACCACCCAGCACAGCAATTTCAGACCAAACTATTCCTAATACTATACACACTTCACCAGCACCACAGTTCCCTCAGGCACCACGACACCCATCTCACCACATGACTACTCGTCTAAAATCAGGAATTTCTAAACCGAAACGCATATTTTTCTCTTGCTAGTTCTGTCTCCTTTCAGGACACGCCGAGCAATTACAAACAAGCAGTCCAGATCAGTCACTGGCAGAAGGCTATGCTTGAGGAATTTGAAGCACTGACGAAACAAGGTACTTGGACTCTAGTCACACCACCGCCCAAGAAACCAATTCTTGGTTGCAAATGGACCTACAAGACCAAGACTCTACCCGACGGCAGGATAGACCGCTACAAAGCACGACTCGTAGCACTCGGCTATGACCAACAGCTAGGCATCAACTACACATAAACATTCATCCCGGTCGCTAAAATGACAACAATTCGTATATTGCTCACATTGGCTATACAACGGAAATGGTCCATCTTACAACTAGACGTCTCCAATGCCTTCTTGCACGGAGACTTACCTGACGACGTCTACATGCGACAACCACCCGGGTTCACCGATCCCACCAAACCCGATCTGGTATGCAAACTTCAGAAATCCTTATACGGCCTCAAACAAGCCCCCCGCCAATGGTATGAAAAACTAACTCAATTTCTTCAAACACACGGCTTCAGGTTCAGTCGCTTCGAACCCCTCGCTTCTAATCTTCAAACAAAACAATATCCAAATATTTTTCCTCATTTATGTTGACAATCTTCTTATCACAGGTAACGACGAATTCACCATCCAGCACCTTCTTATCGAGCTCAGATCAAATTTTGCGCTGAAACAACTTGGAGAAATTTCATTGTTCCTTGGCATTCAAACCATACAACAATCTGATGGCTTATTTCTCACTCAGCAACATTACGCTGAGAAGATACTAAGGGAGACCAACTTGCAAGACAGCAAACCTGCTTCCACGCCAAGCACCCTCAAAAACAAACAACCTGCACCGGACCTTCTTCCGTACTCCGATCCATCCTTCTACCGTCGCATTGCCGGATCCTTGCAGTATTTATCCATAACAAGGCCTGACATTGCCTATGCAACAAATCAACTCTGCCAACACATGCATCAACCTTCAAATGCTGACTATCAAGCGCTAAAACGCCTTCTTTGCTACATAAAAGGCACCGTCACTTATGGTCTTCCTATCCGATCCGGCGATCTCACTCTCCGAGCATTCACCGATGCTGATTGGGCCGCCGACTCGATGGATCGCAAGTCGATTTCAGGTTACTGCACCTTCTTGGGACCGACACTTGTTTCTTGGACAGTAAAGAAACAAGTAACGGTAGCCAAGTCCTCCACAGAAGCAGAATACCGAGCACTGTCGGCAGCTACCTCTGAGGTCATCTGGCTCCGAAGATTACTAGAAGAAATTGACATAACTCAAACCGGACCAACAACAATACATTGCGACAACATATCGGCAATGGCTCTCGCCAAAAACCCGATCTTACATGCAAGAACAAAACATATTGAGATCGACTATCAATTTATCCGTCATCACCTCAACTCGAACAGCATCCGTCTCACTCACATTTCATCCACGGATCAAATTGCAGATATCTTCACCAAATCATTTATCCCTGCTCGCTTTCAAGAACTTCGACGCAAATTAACCATTCAAGATCCGAATGATTAATTTGAGGGAGGCTCTAAGCGAACAGAATTACCTATTTACATTTACTGCCATTATTGTATCTATTTAAGTATTGTATTACTGTAAACTGTACTCATTCAAATTCTTAATACAATTTCTCTTCCTCTCGTTTCTCCGTCGTCTCTCCTCTCTTCTTGCATTATCTTCTTCGCCACTTTCAGATCTTACTCCGAGTCGGACGGATCTTGCGGATTAATCTGGAGGTGTCGCCCATAGCGCTCGCCGCCAACTCTCCTCCTGGGAACTGGCCGATTCTCCAGTGCCTCTTCTTGATGACGATCTTGGTACATTGGTCTCTCCCTGATGAGATTGAACTTGCGACGAATCTCCACAGTTAGCCGCTGAACGTCGGCCGCCACCTCGTCAATCTTGCGATTGACGCTTTCTTGATTTGCCCACAGCATTTCAAGAATCTGAACTTCCTCTGTCGTAGGTTCTTTGCTTATGTTCGTCATTCCTCTTCCAGAGGATAGCTTTGATACCAACTGTTGTCCTTCTATATGATCGATGGTACCTGGAAGATAACACACAAGTAACATCACGCAAAACAGGGAATTGACTAGAAGATTACCTTTGTATTATGTGTCTAATATTTCTTTGTAAAGGAAGACAACTACCTGGCTTTCTCTTCTATCCTCCTAAATGTAATTTCAGATACTTTCTAATAATATTTCCGTGAAAAAGGGAAAAAGGATGTAAAAAGTTTATGCCAATACTATTAGCAGAAAATAGTAAATAAGGTAGTGGAAGTATGAAATTTGTTAGGGAGTTGAGATGTTCCGCCGGCTCTATGGGTTATCCGGTGTTGCATCACTTAACTAATTACATATTTGATATTAATAATGTAAATTTATTAAAAAGAATTTTAAATCAGCCCATTTAACTCATTTAAAAAAGTCCAAAATTTTATTCAAATTTCTTCAATTAACTATATAAAAATATAAATTAGTATCAAATTATAAAAAGCATTAATTTTTCTTACTTTATATATAATAATAAATAAAATGATATTCCCATCAAAAATCAAACTTGTCTTTTATTTTAAAATACATTCATTTTTCCTATTTTACGGCAGACTTTTTTTTTTTTTTTATAAAATTTGGGTAGAGCTCGTATATTTTAAAAAAAAAGAAATTACAAGTAAAATAAAGTAAACCCCCAGGTCAAATTAGAAGGCCCCCAAAATTACCTGTATCAAACAACAAAAGAAACAGAATAAGAACTAAAAACAGAATAAGAACTAAAAAAGCTCCCACACAAAAAAGAAGCCAGGAGACTTCAGTCGGCTTACAGACTACGCGGCATCTGATTCTTTTCTCTCTTTCTCAATTATTAAAGGCTATCAACTCTAATCTTCATCTCTTCCAATCAATCTGATCCGTTTCTCCTACTGTTCAGTTATTCTGCTCTCTCTACCTCGATCTTAGTTGCCATGGAGGTGGCTGGATGGTTTGTTGGTCCGTTCATGAGCGAGATCATCAAAGCTTGCTCTGATTACCTGAAAGATCAAATCAGATTGCAGACAGACATGAAGGAGGAGCTTGAAAGGCTGCAAGAGAACCACCCGAAGATCAAAGCTGTCGTCTTTGCAGCTAACCAAGCACAAATTAGCGATCAGAACCAGGGTCTCAACGAATGGATCTGGCAGCTGCGAGATGCTCTTGATGAGGTAAATGATGCGCTCGATGAGTTGGAGTACATGAAACATAAAGAACAGCTCTCCAAAAACACGGAAGAAGCAAAGGTGTGTTTTATATTTATTTTTTTATTTGATAATCTATCAGAAAAGAAAGCTCGATCATCAGCTTCCTATTTGAAATTCCTACTTGAAAATTAAACAGTTGATCAAAAACAAGAAGCTGAGAAAGGTGCGTTCCATGATGAAATCCATGAAGAAGAAACTTGCCAAAATTGGCAAAAGGGATCCCAACTTGAAGCGACTGGAGAAGGCTGTGCAGAAACTTGATAAAATTTCGGCTGATGTTACTCCTTTCTTTCTTCTTTTAGAGAGCGCAAAGCAGGAACAGAAGGAGCAGGAGGTTGATTTCTACAAAACACGTCAAACAGGATCCTTGCCCACTACAAATGTTCTCTTCGGTAGAGGCGAGGCTAAGGAGTATGTTACGCAGTGGTTGAAGAAGCTATCAAATGAGCATCAGGACAGAAACATTTCTCTTCTATCTATAGTGGGTCATGGTGGTATGGGGAAGACAACTCTATTGCAACATGTTTATAAAGATGAAATTACAGAGGAATTTGATCTTAAAATGTGGGTTTGTGTTTCAAACAACTTTGATATGAAAACAGTCATTGAACATATGTTGGAATCTCTGTATAAGAAGAAGCCTGATGTGGATTCACTTGATGCACTTCAAGATATGCTTAGGATTGCTGTTGGGTCCAAGAAGTTCTTGCTTATTCTGGATGACATTTGGGTGGAGGAGGAGAACCAGGATATCAACAAATGGGAGAAGGTGTTCGCTCCTCTGGCTTATGGGAAAATTGGTAGTGGGATTTTGGTAACAACTCGAATGGACTC